CCAGGTTTTCTGTTGTCAGTAGTTATAGTAGTAGAGATCAGATTCTTAAGTTACTAATACATCACAGGTAGATATTAGCTGAGATCAATTTTTCATATATTGATTATGTTACAACATTTTTATATCATGGGAAATTTTGATAATTGGTCTTACTGTTTGATTAATGCCGACAATAATAAGGTCACAGGGATGAACAACTTAATTTACTAGTTAAGAAAGTAATTATTTCTTTCTTTCAATTAATTAAAACTTTCAATAATACAATAATTTTGGGTAGTGAAAATAAGCAGTTTATTGGAATCAATTTTGGTATCAAGGTATAGTGTTTATTAGGGAACAACTTCTACTATCAAGTCTTTGCGAAATTTTAGAGTTTTTTAGAGTTATCATTATTATTACTGCGCAACACTTAATAATATTCTTTAATTCTTACTATGATCCCTTCACGATTATGTATGCTACGTATAATCTTCCCTTACAATTTCTCTTGCAATATTGCTTACTATTTTGCATACAATTTCGCATACAATTTTGTCTACTATCTAGTCTACAATTTTGGTCACAATTACTAGTTCTCCGATGACTCATTTTTAAAAGAATAAACAAATAAAAATAAAATAAAAAAATGAGAAGATTTAAGAAGAGTTAACTCAGTGATTATCACGAATTATCACCCTCGATATAATCACATGGCAATTTTGATTGGCCAAAAATGTAAACAAATATCAGATGATCACATGCCTTTAAAATCACTTTCCGACATAATTTGGACAAAAGCAAACCCCAGCATCGGTTCTTGTTTATATAGTAGTAAATCACCTTTTACTTTTATTGATTCAATAGTTCAATAAAGGTAAAAGGTGATTTACAAATAAACACAAACTGACGCTGTGGTTTGTTTTTGTCCAAATTAGACTGGAAATGTCAGAAAGTGATTTTCAAGACAAAGACCACTTTTTTTTTCAATTAAATACGTACTTGAGTAAGATTTTAGAATGACTAACTTGGGCATGATTTGCAAGTATGACTAGTAACTCATTCTTTTTATTTTTATTTTTTTGTATCTTTAGTATTGTTGCTTGTATACTTGCTAACTAAACTCTTTTAAATAGTATTATCATGGGGACAAGCAGTAATAAAAAAAAACTGTTTGAAATATTATCGTTATCTTATAACTTCTATAACTACATCTCTTGTTATTTATGCTAGCGCAACGATCATATTATCATAATTAACATACATCTTTATTTATTTATTTATTTATATTTTACCCTAAGTTACAATTATGCTCCTAGGAAAATAAGCTATAAGATACTAGTTTTGCGACGCAATATTTATATTAATAACCCAGGAAATGTAATTTATACGATAAGAATGCGTGTGGTATTTATAAAATATGCTAGCAACGATCGTATTATCATAATTAACATACATCTTTATTTATTTATTTATATTTTACCCCTAAGTTACAATTATGCTCTCGGAAAAATAAGCTATAAGATACTAGTTTCGCGACGCAATATTTATATTACTAACTCAAACCAAGAAATGGAATTTATGCGATAAGAATGTGTGCGGTATTTGTAAAATATGCTAGCAACAATCGTATTATCATAATTAACGTACATCTTTATTTATTTATTTATTTATATTTTCCCCTAAGTTTTAATTATGCTCCCGGGAAAATAAGCTATAAGATACTAATTTCGCGATACAATATTTATATTAATAACTCAAACCAGGAAATAAATTTATGTGATAAGAATGGTTGTAGTATTTGTAAAATATGCTATATCATTTTTTATACTTTAACAACTAAAAATATATTTATTTCGCACTTTAACATTCTACTAAAATTTATTTCATGCTTAACACACTACTAAAAATTAATTTGTTTCGCACTTTAACACATAATTAAAAATTGATTTATTTGAACTTTAATATACTGATATAATGATGTAAAATTATGCGATTTAGTGTGATTTTATTTATTCATGCTAAATCACATAATTTATATTTCTGACCCTCATTAATATATCTTCAAAACCCATTGTATATTTGTAGCTCAATCTATTTCTTATAAAAAGAGCAATTTGTAAGATTTAAACGTAATAAAAAAAATTTAACATTAAAAATAACAAAATCGCTTACGCTTCTTGACAAGTTCTGACCTAATTTTCTTGAATCTTCTACTAATAACATCTCTGCTTATCTAAATAACTTGCCAAATTATCATAAAATAATGGCAGAAAACATCGAAGAAATTCTTTTGCCTCCAGTTCAGCAATTGCTCGAATCACCTATTTTAATAAAAACTTATAGTGATATTTATTTTAACACCCAAGAAATAGAAAATGCTGTTAAATTTTTTGAAGAACTTGAAATTCTTTCTAAAACACGTACCTGTTCTAAATGTCAAAGTCCAATGTGCAAGACAAAAGATAAATCCCGTGGTGATAATTGTAAATGGCCTGTACTTCAAGAACAGCTTAAGGTCATACTACAACTTTAAGAACAGGAACATGGTTGACAAAATCTAAGCTATCCCTTGCACAAATTGCCAAAATTATGTTTTGTTGGTCTCATAAACTGCCCCAACAATTTGCTGCATTAGAAGCTAATGTTAGTACTGTATCGATGGTCGATTGGTACAATTTTTGTCATGATATCTGCTGCATAGCATTAATGAACCAAAATAAAAAAATCGGAGGTGAAAAAAAAATTGTCGAAATTGATGAAAGTAAATTTGGAAAACGTAAGTATAATAAAGGTAAGAAAGTGGAAGGGCAATGGGTCTTTGGTGGAGCTGAAAGGGAATCAGATAAGATGTTTTTAGTATCAATACCAGATCGATCAAAAGAAATGTTATTAAAAATTTTGGAAGAGTATGTGGAAAAAGGAACAACAATATATAGTGACTGCTGGGCAGCTTACCAAACCGAGGATTTTGAAAAATATGGATGGAAGCATGATAAGGTTAATCATTCGAAGTATTTTAAGGATCCTGAAACAGGGGTCCATACTAATACAATCGAATCAAATTGGTGTTCAGTAAAGGCTTCTCTTCCACGGTACGGAACTGTTAAAGAATTATATGATACTTATTTCTTGGAATATATATGGAGACGACGTTTTATCAAAGATAACTGTGATGTATTTAATAAGCTCGTAGAGCATATTGTATTATATGGTAAAAATTTAGAAGAGGTAATTAGTGTTTCTTAATTAAAATAAAAATAAAAATAAAATTTTAATTAATGCCTTATAATTTTTAGATCATTCCATAATACAGTATCAAGCTTCTATTGCCATAGTGGTCCAAAAGTCCTACGTGCGGAGTAAATAATAAATTTTATTAGTATTTTTAAATTATATATAAAATAACTAGTTATAAAAAATAAAATTACCTTTCAATAAAATTTTGTATTGTATTGCTGTAGACCCTTGATAAAATATAATAAATTTTTATATGAACCAAAATACTTCTAAATTGAATACCATAAAATTTGGACGTGTATACCCTGAGTATTCTCATTACCAATTTAGTACCTGGGATACCTCTATATAGGTACGCCATATAGAGACAATATATTTTACTATATTTACCTGTGATAATACATATAGCGTATATAAGACTTATGTACCAAAATAGCAAGAGTACACCGCATGGGATACATGCATCCAGATTTTATAGTACTCTAATTTCCTTGTAAAACTGTAATAATGGATATAACTTTTTAATATTATACCTGCTAGAAATTTAAAAGTACCAGATATAGATAGGCTATTTTTGAGAGTAGGTTTATGGATAAAAATTTTCATCAAACCATTGAGGAGAATTAGAATCCAAGTTGAGGTTCGAGTAATTTTCTATCAAATAACCTAATCTCAAATTTTCTATTCACCCATTTGCAAATTATTAGGTTTTGGAAAGAAGACCAGAGCTTTGCTTAGAATGATTCGTAAAGTCCTTATAATTAAAAACTATACTTGGATGCTTAATGACAATATTGTTATAAAGCTCTTATAAACTTTAAAATCATTACATATAAAACATATTTTAGAAACCACAAACCTATTCACAATACATGATTTTCAACAATTGTGATCGTGCAATATTAAATAATTCTTCAAGAACGAAGTGCAGCAGTAGCTGAAAGGCTGAGAATTGGCTTTATGAAGAAAACTATACACTTAATAATACTAAAAAAGCTACAATTAGTGATTTCTAAAACAAACAAAAAAAAATATAATAAATGAGTGATGCAAAGAGAAAACCTGTAATTCTTGTTAAATGAAAAATTATAGGTTTCTCTTTACGGCACTCAAATTTCAAAAAAAAAAAAAAAAAGAAAAAGGATATTTTCAAGGACTTCCTGCAATAAATAGTTGAAAATTGAATAAGCTAACCGATTTATCATTTCAATAAATAAATTCTCAAGATGCAGACTATTTTAGAATCTACCTTTCCGCTTGATAATATTTTAACAAGTTGTTTTTTTGACTAATCGCAAAGATTTATACACCGCTTCGGTTATTAGTTAATCATATTGAAAGAGCTATCTAAAACCACCAATAGAAAGAATACCTTATGTAAGCAGCAGAAAAACTATTTTTTAGTATTAATTACTAACGCACTATTTAAGTTTTACACAAAACGACTTTTAGATTATCGCTTATTATTATTAGTAACACAGTGTACGTAATTGGTATCACCTGATATTTTGTTAATATTTTTGACCAATAAAAATCGATATGTGATTATATCGAGGGTGATAATTTGTGATAATCACTGAGTTAACTCTTCTTAAAGTGTCCCAAAAAAACAACAACAAATAAATAAAAAAATAAAAATTTTCGTTAAGCCTCAACGTATACGTCACGAAACTCGTGACACTATGCTTTAAAATTTTCAGAATTTGGATTATCGTTATGGCTAAAGGTCAACATTATTGTTTATAATACATAGATTAATGATATAATATATTAGAGGTTAACGTCTATTCAAATTTTATTAATTGTCTAACGAGTGCAAAATTTAATACATCCGAATACTCAGAATGTTCATCGATATGATATGCTGTTACGCCAATTAAATATCCTAAATAATGTGGCAGAGTTTCTTTCATTATCCAAGGGCCTCCACTTGAACCTTTTCCAAAATATGCAGGAACTCTCCTTGCAGGTGGATGTTCTAGAGTTGCATCACCTCTCCAAATGCAGCAGGTTTTACCATCAGTAGTACCTTCACCACAGTTCATATCACCAATTGCTGGATATCCCCATGCAACAATTTTCACTTGATCTGGTGGATTTAAACCCCAACCAAAAGATCCTGTATGATCTTTTAACTTGCCTTGATATTTAAATAGTATCGCGCCATAATCATCGTCTTCAAAATTTATATAATTGTTTGGCACACTAATCTTCAAAACAACAATTTTTCCCAATCTACTTGGTTTACCGTTGTCATATCCAGGATAGAAAATTACATCTTCAGAAAATTCACCCTCAGCATAAAGGCAATGCGCTGCAGTAATTCCTATATTTCCGTCACTAGTATCAATTACACTAGCAGTACATGTATAACTCTCACCATGTGAAGTAAAAAATAATTTTCCTACTGCAAGTGGCTTGTCAGTTAGAATTTCTGAATTATTAAGATCAGGTACATTTGCAAAAGAATCTTTTCTGTCATTGCTTACAGTCTTATTCAATTTGTTAGATGAAAGTAAAGGCTTTGCATTTGCCATACGTTCTTCTGTCCAATAATCAATTGTATTTTCAACATTATAAGTTTTACTAATAATAGATTGTGTAAAAGCATTTTCTATAATTATCAATAAAATCAATATATGCGTAATATATTTCTTGTTCATATTTAAGAGCCAAGATTTTTGATACTATTAATTAAGAAATGGCTTGTTTTATCTTTATTACTCCGATAAGGCTTCGATTACAGGGATTGATACTGTTACATTCAAACCACCTCTAAGTCAGTTTGATGCAACTACTACGTAAGTATCAGAACAATGAGAAGTTTTATGTGATTTACAGTTATGAAAGAGACAATCGGCTAAATGTATATAAGATACAAACAGTCGAGTAAAAAGGTGTGTTAATATATAGATTTCACTAAATCAAATACGTAGCGATCGTGAATAACCTTTGTGGTAATCACGTGATCAAAATCATTAAGTTATTTAACGATTAGGTTTGGGTTTTATCTTGAGTATGAAGATACGAGTTTGTACTTCGTTAAATAAATATAAGTGTCGAACTGTCGATTACAGAGAGATATGGGGGTTATTTATACATGTTTTTGGATTATGAATAATATCTTTTAAGTCTATCGGCTATACTATATCTTCTTTATCTAATAATTATACATGTTTCTAATATAGCCAATACAAATACTGTAATAGTGATAATAACTATAATAATAATAAAATATATAATATTCATGTAATAAATAATAGAGCTAAAGTAAAACCTTCATATGTGCACCTCTCTAAATGCACGCTTAAGTTCTGGCCTAAATATATAGATGCACCTATAAGTGCACTTCTCTTATTAATTTTTAAGTGTATGTTATTAGAGCTTGGTCACAAGAGCATGCACTTATATAGGTTTTACTGTAATCAGAAAAATTATTTATTCATCGCCATTGATTATCGTTATTATTATGTACCTAAAATTTACGAATTAAAATAAATACAGTAAAGTATGAAAAATAAGCACGCTTTTTTAATTAATAGTTGTACTTATACACTAGTAATTTGAAAATCGCTAATATGAAAATCTCGTGATTTAGAGAACGTAATAATGCAAAAAGAAAAAAGTTATACTGTTAACTTCAAACTTGAAGCTATTAAATATGTCAAAGGAACCAATAATTTTCAATCAGCACGCAAATATGGTATTATATTTATGCATACGGTTGATACTATAAGTGTGCTTATTTATAGAATACAAATTTTTATTACGTATAAATGTGCTTATTTTTCATACTTTACGGTTACGGTAAGCTAAACTATAATTTAATAATAAAAAATCCAATAGCACTAACACAAGTTGAATAAAGGCAAATCTGGCACTAATCGGCATTATGCAACCCGATTTGAAACAGACGTAGGAGTTAAGTATATAGGGTAGCTGCCCGACGTTATCGCGCAAAACCAGGAACGGGAAAGTATCTAATATTAAGTAGTTTAAAATTTTAGGTTAGAATTATAATTAGTCAACTTGTTAATAATAAAAAATGCTTAATATGTACTGTTAATTTTTCGCAACGATGGGAATAAGGGGTAAATTCCCGGTTATGTGAGGGACCTTCGAGCCCTTATATGGCCGGAGATCTACAGCTTATTTCACAATTAGATGCTATTCTTCATAATGTATGACAGCAGATCATATCTTTTTTTTTTTTTTGATTTACAAATTTTGCAAATTATAATGAGTTCATTATGGTATAATTTTTAAAATAGTACTTACATCCTCTTACCATATAATTTGGTTATTCAACTATCCAGAACTTCTGTAATTTCTAAAAATACTTATTTTGAAAACTATTTCGTACAATCTGCTGTACGAATTTGATCACCAGTAAATGGCATAAAAATATTCAAATTTATGACCACTGACCTTTTATACGCCTTAGATTTACTCTTTTAACATTAAAATAAATTAGTACCGTAAAATATAGAGAATAGGCACAGCACCCTCTATCCTACTTTTTCAATTTCAGATTAGCAAAAATATCAATAAAATCAAGTTATTCCCGTTAATCTGAAATTGAAAAAAGCAGGGTAGAGGGTGCTGTGCTTATTTCCATATTTTACGGTAATTCGAAATAAATTAAGAATGCAAGTTGTACCTTATTTTTACATGAAAAAATGATTAGTAAAAATGTAAAGGACACTCATAATGGATGGTAATTTATTATAAGAATATACGAGGTTAATTTTAGGGGCAAAATTTTAAATCGGGGTTTTTCTTATTTAATCTCTATTTTATTATAATAACGGGGTTTTTTTAAGAATTAATATATTATCTATATTTTAATCGAAATGATTGCATACTTACAATTCAGGACTCATTAAAATATGGGGTCCCAAAAGTAGAAACCAGGGAATTTTGCCGATCACGGGTTTGAGAAATTGGCAAAAACTATTCTGTTACAAAGCAATCTAAAAATAGGTTATTCAATATTAACAAACCTGTTTAAACATGATTATTAGATCTTTAAATGGATGTTCTATAGAATAGGTGGGCAGACTCTGCAAACTCCACAACTCCGCTAAATATTTATTAATGATTACTAATTAGTAGCGGGTTTATTTTTTATATTGCCCACCTATTCTATAGAACATCTCTTTAAATTGCTATCATACTAATATCTGCACTAGTAAATCTATTTTTATATTATAGCATCAAAAGCTTTTAACCATTGTATCACAAAAATTTATTAAGTGAACAGACTTTCATTATTAAGTAAAAAAAAACTGGGCTTTAAATTTTACACTTGATTAATCAAACAAGCTAATTTTCAGAAAATTGTCAATTCTATGGTTTTTACTTTTGACAGCCCATACACACAGGTTGAAATCAAAAATATCTTTCCTGTATCTTCAAATAATCGGCCTAGGTGATAGAAGGATGATATTGTGATGGCTATGAACCGATAAGATGGGGTATTAAAAAAGCCAATATGCTGAAGATTATGGTAAAATTGGATGCATATATGGAAATTAACATTCGAATATCATTAAAATGATTTGTTTATCATGTAGAAGATATAAGGCTGATATGAACAAGATTTTTTAATGATAATTTGATGATTAGATAAATCATTAGCCGATATAGTAAAGGCTACACAGGTT